CAGGAACTGTAGCAGTTGTGAAATCTCAAATTTTACTGGTGTGTATGAACCCCACTGGGCCTTGGTTTTGTAGCACGTTCCATTGGGTAAAAGAAGGATGTGAATCAACAGGCATGAACACCAATCGTAGAGCCCCTATATGCTGGAAAGTTGCCAAGCATCAACATGTGATGGTCATGCACACTGTAGTCATATAGCACACCGGCACTGTGCCATGACTGACTATCCTATGAAAGCACCTGCTGGAAAGGGCTAAGGGAGGGAGTAACATTGGGAAAATGTAGAACCTTTTAGTCAGAGCTTCAATGAATCAGAGCAGTAAACCAGACACACTTAGTTCTAAGATTAATTCCGATTTTTCTTTGCAGCTTAAAATAGTGATTGCCGAGGTTCTCGTGGCTGACTTCCTGGTGGCACTTGTGCTGGACCGAACCCTTCAGGCGTTGCTGGGGAGCAGCAGACTTCATGTGCCTTCCTGATGATCAAGCTGGCAGACTGACCAGTCCTTCCTCCACACCAAGTCAGTCCACAGCTGGGCACACTCACATCACTGGGAGATTTCAGGGCGAGAGAGACTAGGCACCCGGCCATTCCCACGGATGGAACTTGTAACTCACCAACTGTTTTCTTAGATGGTTTTTGATATATAAAGAAAAAAAGACTGGTATTTTCCTACCTTAAAAAAACAAAATTCTGGATGAGGGAAATAATAAATCCACGTGCAGTTTGACAGTGTTTGTGAATTCGGCCCCTCAGCTCTTCATCTCCTTACAGACTGTGGGATGTGAAATCTTCATTTGACGCTGTTCAGCTTTCAGTTTTGCTAACACACCACCAAGGCAAATGTCCTCGATTGATTGAATTAATACTAAGGTGATAGTTTTCTTCGTACTTTAATCTGTTGACCAGTTTCTGCTTTGCAAGAGGTGAGGCATGTATTTTTACCCTCAAGTACGTTAAAGGTATTCCTCTAACTCTGGTCTTTCTGCATCCTGCCCCTTCCTTGCACCACGATTACTGGTCATGCCTTCAGCTTTTGAATTTTCTCTCCAAAAATTCAGATCCTGCTTAAAACCTGCCTCTTGCAGCGAAGGCTCTATAGAAGTGCAAACTGCCATCTGTTTTGCCTGCACACATTGTAGACCTTTTCAATTCTCAGGATCAAATTGGCCAGACATCTGGAAGTCCATGGCTGCTCCTGTACTGCATTGCAGTCAACACAATGTACAAAATCCTTTCAGGATGTGCAGCTATCACTCCTTAGCTTGTGCTTCAGGTGTCAATGTGTGTTCACCAGCTGAATGAGCTAAAAAATCAGCTTCGCCACCCTGGAATTGGAGTGTGATTGAAGCTATTTTAGTTATTGTTGAGCCAAGAACTTCTTGCATTTCTCTAGCACCTTCTGCCACTTCAAAGCATCTTAAAATGCTTTGCAACCAGCGGCATATATCAGAAACAGTCACTGTTATAATGAAGGAAACGGGACAGTCAAATTGCGAACAGTAAGATCCCACAAACTGCAAATGCGATAATGACCTAGTTTCAGATATATGATTTAGGGATAAATGTTGGTACTGAAGAGATCCCGTTTTAGTTTAATGTTTCCACCAAAATATGGTGCCTCAGTCAGTGCTGCATTCCCTCAACAGTAAGTAACATTAGTGTCAGATCCAGGCTTCCATCTCCTTACCTCTGACCTTCACAGCAGTATGAGGTTAAACCTGACTGCCTCCCATTGCCTTCCTGCACAACTCTTTTAACACTGTCATCCCACATACCAAATTTCAAATGTTGGTTATTTGACTCCCTGGTAACTCATTACGTAAGTGCACTGCCTGCTGCACTGGCAACGTTTCACATATGGCCCTTGAGGCTGGGAGTACTACTAACTCCAGTAGTACGGTCTACATTAATCCCTTTCCTCTATGCTCCAGCCTCACTTCCAGATGGCATGAGGAATAATTTGATGTCTTTTGACATTAAGATTAAGGTGATTTGTGTTTGTCTGCTAAAATTCCAAGTTTCCCTGATCCAGCTGTGAACTCCCACCTTTCTATAGTTTCTCCTATTTCTCTTGGTGCCCTCTCTAATTGCATTATGTCCATAAGACCCTTTTTCTGCCCCCTTGGTCCTACACTGGTCAACTAACCTCCCTCCCTAGCAGATATTAATGGTTCTGGCACCTCTGGGTGCTATCCCTCCACTCTTCCAAATCTCTTGTTCCCAGCTCTTGCCTCAAAAAAGCCCACCCTTGACCCCTCTGTCCTTGTAAACTAATATTCCTTCTCAAGTTCTTCAATATGTTGCAGTTGATGCCCACCTTTCCCTCACATCCACATTTGAATCACTCAAATTGAGTTTCATTTAATTCCTCTGCACTGTGGCTATGTTCAAAGCCATAAATGACATCCTTTGGCCTTCTCAACATTTCTCCAGCCTTTGACGATAACTGATCACATCTTCTACCAATGCCCAACTGGGTCTGCCGTCATCATCTTCAGTGATTGTAACCAGAGAAATGCCAGCAACCTATTCTCAACCTGCCAGTCCATCATTACTTCTGAGGTTCTGCCAGAGATTTATCTTTGAGTGGCTCTTATCTGTGTGTTGACCCTTTGTGACATAAGTGAAAGGTATTGCGTCAAATTCTTAATGTACACTGACTAAACACAGCTTTTCTCCACCACCAACCACCCTTGACAACTCCACTATGCAGTGCCCTTGCCCACTGGATTACCAGCGCAGCCTGACAAGGCACATTTGTAATTTGGAATTTGACACTACTTCTGACATTGTTTCAGATTATCAAAATTTCCTCATTAAATTTTTGGACCACAAAATGTATTTATTCAGCATCTTTAACGTATGTAAAAAGCTCCAAGGTGGCAGAATTTCAGGAGTTTCTTAAAAGGATATAGAACAGGAGGCAGCATCTGAGTTTATTACTTAAGCAGCTGAAAGCATGGTTGCAATGGCGTGATTAAAAACTAGGGATAAAGCAAGAAGCCAAAATTGGAAGAGAACAGAGACGTCAGAGTTGAGAGACTAGAGGATGGTGCAGAGGTTAAGGAATAGTTTGCCAATGAGGATGACCATTTAGCATTGATTGATTTATTTTCTGGCTATGTCTGAATAAGTAGGAAATGGGACCACTCAGCAGGACAACATGGGAAATGCAGTATAGGACGATGTGGTCATTCTCAAAGGTAACTTATCAAGCCATTGTCTTCTGCACCATCCTCTTCAATTTCAGTCCTTCTAGTCAAGTATACAAACTGAACCAGATTATTCACAACCTTGGTATCCATCTGATCCGAAACAACTGAGTTCTGAGTTCCTGCTTGGCCTGCTGTGTTCATCCAGCTCTACACCTTGTTATCTCAGATTCTCCAGCATCTGCAGTTCCTACTATCTCTGAGTTTCTAATCCCATATCTTTTCCATCACATCCCTGCCAAAACTGTAACCTAAACCTTTGCTACCTAGAGTTATAACTTCTTCATTGCCCTGCTAGTCAGTTTCCCATCCTTTATGCTCCACCATAATCTTCAGAGCATCTGAAACTTGACTCTGTATATCCTCACCCAGTCATCACTGACTTGTATCCCATCAAGAAACTAATTCAGTCCTATGACCATTCAAGAACTACGTGCTCCTCTCACTTTCATTGTCTTTGTGTCCAGTCCGTAAGCCCTGGAATTCTTTCCACCCCTCAATCAGGGAATTATCATTTTTAAGTCCTATCTTGCACTTTGAACTGTTCATGGTTAGAAATGTAAAGAAAATAAAGGCTGTGGATGATTGTACGGAAGCTGGAGGAAGAATTAAGCATGTTGGAAGTGTGGTTTCTGTCAATTGCCCTGCCTCTGAAGGAATCTTAGGCCAACCGGGATTGTCTCCTGTGTGCTCAGAAGCACTTGTAGCTGCCACAGGTGGACTGGGAAAAATTGTTTAAGAAGGATATGAATGTCACCTAATGATGGCTTGCAGTGGTTTGGATTCATTTGTATAGACCAGTGTATTAAAAATTATATATGGGAACTGCAAACTTCCTGCTTGCATGGAAGCCTGAGGGTGAATTCAGTCCACTGAAGCGTTGCTTAGATTTGTCTTTCGACACAATCTCTGCTTTGGTTGTGCATGCTGAATTAAAAGTTGCATGATATTTGAATGCAGCATGTCATGTGACACACCACAAGGTGCTTCAGACATTAACTTTGACATGTAGTCACTTGCTGCACAAACAAGTATTGTAGCCATTATCCAGCAGGACCACCCTATAACAAACAGATTATTGACTTTTAATTGGTTTGTGGTGGTAAGCAAGTGTACAGTTGACCAGGTCCTGAGGAGAATTACCCACATTTGTCAACATGCACCTGGATAGAGTCTTGTTGAAATTTCACAGGTCATATGATTTTAAGATGTTAGACAGAACCACTGCAGCGGACATAGAAGCCATCTGGTCGATCACACTTGTGCCACTTCTTTGAAAGAGCCATTCCTGTCATTCAAAAGGTTATGTAGAAATACCAAAAGGTGAGTGAAAATCGGGGTTGGGGGGTGGGGAAGAGAGAGACAGATTAAAGTGGGCTTTATCAAAAAAAAGTAGTTTTGTTTTAAAGATCTGCACATTAAATAATCATATAAAACCATACTTCTCACCTAAAAGTGAGAAAGAGCGCCTTGAAGGCACATGAACAGTTGGGAGGCTCCCAGGAGCACCTCAGCTAACTCAACTTTGGAAACAGAAATTGCAGGTTCTCCCACAACAAGTAAGGAAATCTCTCTCTATTTATGTTGTCAGGTCCCCACCTCTAGGTATCTGATGAGGCACAGAGCACTGTGCAGCTCAAATCCACAATTCCATGTTGGCTTACTGAATAGATGCAAAGTACAGGAAGACCACCATGAGATCAGCCATTAACATTAGCGCAACAAGCAGTCAACTATACAAAGAGATTTAATTGATTGAAGAGGAAAAGAATGTCAGAACAAAGATTATTCTCTATAAGTATTTAATAATTGTTAAAAACTGATGTGGAAACTACAGGATAATATTTAAAAATCATAAACAGAAATTAGGTAGTTCTGATTCTTAGTAAAGATATTTTTAATCTCGTTCAGATGGGTTATCTCTGGAGCAGGTGGGATTTGAACTTGGGCCTTCCGAGAGCTTTTCAATATAGATATATTTAGAAGATCCACAGTGATATCAGCTTACCTCTTATTAAAACATTCACCCTTTTAAGAAGGTAATCATGTGAACATATAGACTACCTGATTGCATCTCCTGATATTGACATCAAACAGAGCCAAGGAAATCAACAAGCCATAAGTAATGATTTAAAACTGTGTACAACAAACAACTGAAGGAAGGTCCCTGGGTTGATGGGTGGTCACAATTAAGTTGAGAGCAACTCTGAATTGAGGTGGCATGGCTACAGGCGAGCTAAGCTTCCCATGCTGCACAGTGGGTAGAGTTAATTTCACTGTACTTCCATGTTTATGCTAATTAGGGTTGAATGGAAACAGTCATTTGGGAGGTACACTGTTTCCCATACTCGTGCAGTTGTGTAACACTTTCACATCCTGCCTTGTTACTCCACCCAGCTGGTAATGACAGTGACAGCTCAGATAGCAAACCTTTCCACTAGTGTCTTCATACTCAGTGTACTTTGCAATCTCCTGGAGACAGTCATTCCCAAACAGAATAAACTCTAAAGTTTAACTTACTTCCACATTATTCTACTATATCATATGGAGATTATATATAGATTTTGAAAATGAATGCAGCTCCTGCCATGCTGCAGTGGGTCCCACTTGATTACAGTACTTGCAACAACAAACCAAATATCAGCAGCAATTTAGATGCATATAAACAAAGTCAAAACGGTGATTGTACAGGGATGATCTTGAAAATAGACAGTTTCTATGAAGTGGGTTTTATTGCACCTTTGTGATACCCACATCCAATCTCATGGCTTTTAGCTTCATGGAGTCAGAGGTAAGAATCTGCTGTGAGCCTGACCTATGAGGCAGCTTCATCCTGAGGCTCTGTTGCAACTCAATGGCTTTTGCTCTAGGAGACTGTTGGAGGGAGTCTGGCAGCTGCAGTCTTCTCTGTCATGAAGCTGTAGTTGTACTGAAACAAGAAGAACTGTCACAAGTTAGTGGCTTTACACTGGCTTTTCTGGATCAACAATTACAAGTCTGTATGAACGCACCAACCTATTGGTGACAGAGGTAATAAAAAGGTCAGTATTCTCAGTATGCCCATGCAGACTTAAACGGCAGGATCAAGCTCAGCTAGTCAGTCACATGCCAAACATCTGCCAGTCCTTATTGCCTCGTGCTCTTTAGAATATCTTCTATGATTTTCCTCCAAAATCTTGACAAATATCAGTCCAGCTAAAAAACCATTTGCTTGCTACCCTTCATTGACATCCCCACTCAGTCATCTAAAATGATAACAAATCAAACTAACTTTTTACCATTCTTCTGACAGTGTGCTTTAACTCAGAATCATACAGCATGGAAACAGACTGTTCAGTCCAACCAGCTTGCACCACACATAATCCCAAACTAAACTAGTCCCACCTGTCTGCACTTGGCCCCTATCCCTCCAAACATATCTTATTCATGTACTTAGCCAAATTATTCACTAATTCCTATGGAAAGTTAATTCCATGCATGAACCACTGTTTAAAAAGAAATTGCCCCTCATGACTTTATATTTTTCTCTTCTCGCCTTCCATAGGACCCTGTAGTCTTGAAACACCCCTCCCTAGGGAAAAGACACTTACCGTTCACCTTATCTATGCCCCTCATGATTTTATAAACTTCTCAGGTCACGCTTCAACTTCCTAAGTACCAGTGAACAAAGTCCCAGCCTATCCAGTCTCTTAACTCGCTACTTCCAGATTTCCAGTAACATCCTGGTAAATCTCTTCTGAATCTTCTCTGTTTTAATAATATGTCTTTCCTATAACAAGGTGAGCAGAACTGGAGACAGTATTCCAGAAGAGGCCTCACCAACATCCTGTACAATCTTAACATAATTTCCTAACTCCTATACTCAAAGGGTCTGAGCAATGAAGGCAAGCAGCCTAAGTACCTTAACCACTGTACCTATTTGATGCAAACTTTAAAGAATAATATACCTGAAGCCCTCAGTCTGTCTGTTCTACAGCACTACCCATGGCCCTACTTTTAATTGTAGGAATCCTGCCCTTGTTTATTTCACCAAAATACAACACCTCACATTTATCCAAATTAAATTCCATCTACCACTCTTCAGCCATTGATCACAATCTCTGTAATGTTAGATATAACCTTCTTCACTGTCCGCTAAAGCACCAATTTCGTGTAATCTACAAACTTACTAACCATGTCTTCTATATTCTCATCTAAATCATTTATATAAATGACAAAAAAAGTGGACCAAGCGCAGATCACTGGAACACCACTGGTCACAGGCCTCCACTCTGAAAAACTACATTCCACCACTGTCTCCTGCTGTTAACTACAATTTTGTATCCAATTGGCGAGCTCACCCTGAATCCCATGAAATCTAACCTTCTTAGAATCCCTACAGTGCAAAAAAAGGCCATTCAGCCTAACAAATCCACACCAACACTCCAAAGAGCATCGCACCCAGACCCATCCCCATGCCCTATCCCTGCATTACCCATGGCTAACGCATCTAACCTACACATTTCTGAACACTGAGTAATTTAGCATAGCCAATCCACCTAACCCACACATCTTTGGACTGTGGGAGGAAACCAGAGCACCCGGAAACTCCTGTGGACACAGGGAGAACATGCAAACTCCATCATGGTGTGTGCCATTATCAATATGAATATGGGACTTCATCTCCACAAAGGCTGTACGATGGTCACTCTTACTGATAGTTCCAAGGACAAATGCATCTCCGGAAGGTAGATTTGTGAGGATTAGATTAAGTAGGTTTTTCCCTTTTGTTGTTTCCTTCATCACCTGCTACAGACCCAGTACACCAAGTCCTTTACGATTTGCACAACCCGATCAGTCTTGCTGGTGCTGCTCAGCTTCTCTTGCTGGTTGTCTCAAGACCCCACCCAGAGTACACGCTGCGCCATTATCACCCTCAGTACTTCTGTTATGGACCAGACCAAATCCCTTCAAAATATATTTAGAAGACAATCTAGACCCTAACTTTTTCTTACTTGAAAAGGTAAGTGTAAGGTGTTGCTTTCCAAATGCAATTCAATTGGTCAAACTACTCAACATTAAGCAAAACACACTTTATTTTAACGGTAGTGTAAAAATAAAAAGAATTGGCTTAACTGTAACTATTAAAATGCTTAACAAAATAATAGCTATATTAACTACTAATTAACTGTTCCAATATAGAAACCTCCCATAAATACATCCTTGGCAAAAGGCAAATTCATTAAAATAGATTGTCTCATAGGCAATTCTCCAGTCCAAGAGGTAAAACATCAAGAGAAAATTCAGAGAGAGGGAGTTGCAGGGAGAGATGTACAACAGCTTTAAGACCCCAGGAACTGCTACTGCAAAATTAAAATTGAAAATCCTGGTTCTATGGGAGTTTGACCCCCACCCATTCAGACTGCTTCTATTGTTCCAAACTTAAGGAAAACAAACCCCAAGGCCTCACAAGCTGTTTATTTTTATAGGCTTTGAAGCCGACAGATCATCACCTCTGATCTCAACCTTTCATGAAAAAAATGACAAAATACACCTCAAAGCCATGGTATTGTCACACTTCCAAGGGGTGTTCAACATTGAGGTGTACTTGTTCATTAGCTGAAGGAGGATGGTACAAGGTAATTAGCAGGAGGCTTCCTTCCTCCTATTTGACCCAATACCATGTGACTTCACAATGGTGAGGACTCCCAAGATAGCTCTCCCCCAACTGTGTACCGCTGGGTATGTCCTATCCTATTGGCAGGACAGAATGATGGCTGTGTCTGGCACATAGTCATCCTCATAAAATCATACCTCACAGAATGTCAGGCTGTTACTTGATTTGTTGGAGAGACAGCTCTCCTAATTTTGACACTAGCCCCCAGGTATCAGTCAAGAGGAGCGTGTTTGCAATTGGTATTTCTGATGCCTTGGTCAATGCCAGGTGATTTGTCCGGTATCATTCCTTTTTTGAGACTTAATTGTTTTAACTGAATGGTGTACTAGACTATTTCAAAAGGACACTTAAAAGTCACATTGCCATTTTTAACCTGGTCTGGTGTACATGGGACTCCAGACCTACAGCAGTTTCCTTCCCTAAAGGATATTAATGAACCAGATGGTCACTGGACTTTTAATTCCAGATTTTGTTTTAAATTGAATTCAAAATTCAAGCATCTAGTATAGTCAGATTTGAACCTGAGTTCTTGGAACATTATCTCGGTCTAGCAATAATATCTGTATATCATCGCCTCCCTGACATCAAATACATCATTGTTGAAGATCGAGCAGGAATAGTTAAGTGAATTACTGACATGAATTTAATGAGTTCTTCTCAGATATGGGGCTCTTTCTTTATTTGACACTGTGACACTGAGTCCCACCCCACAAATGGCAGATCAGTCTCTGCCAGGAACCTAATTTCTTAACAGTGAGGCACTGAACAGAAGCTAGATTGCATTTTCAATAAACATGTCAGGTGAAAAGGAAGTAAATACACGTGAAAATGCAAAGGGTGACAGACTGTTTACCGCTGCAGGAAGTACTTCCAAATAACAAGCATCATTAGCATTTCTGACTTACCTCATTTTCTATTTCAGCATGGCTCTTAATCTGGAAATTTGCAATATTAGCACTGGGTACCTGCAGGAAGACGTCAACATAGAATTACAGCAGTCTATACCATTGAAAAACAGCACAACATATTGCAACATTTCACCACTGAATATGGTGTTATGGGCTGCAATGTTTTGGGAGTTTGGTCTCTCCATCTTGATGTGGTCACATTAAACCTTTCTGCATTCACAAACATAATCAATCCGGCTTCAAAAGCTGCATATAACACCCTTAATGTAACAAAACAGCCCAAAATGCTTCACAGAAGCATGATGATATGAATACAGCCATTTAAGGAGCTATTGAATCAGGTGACCAAAAGAAGGTGTCAAAGATGTATGTATAAAAAAAGGAATGTTCTTAAAAAGGAGGAAAGTGAAGGGGAGGGGTTTAAGGGGGAATTCCACATTTTAAGTCCTTAATAGCAAAGCAATTAAAATCAGAGCTATTCAATAGAAGTAATTTTTTTTGTCTGTTCTTCAAGTACTGACAATATGTAAATCATTGCACCAATAGTTTCCCAAGTAAGTCAGTGAAGACTGCAGAAATTACACCAATATTTTCTAATGTACTACTGAATAAAAACTCCTGAAGATGGAATTGGAAGTCACTGAAGCTCTTTTAAGAGGACTGTCATCGTATTGGTTTTTGAGGTACTTACATTCACAGAGGTGCTTTCAAACCTAGGATGCAGCACAAATGGGACGCCATCCATCGCTGCCGAACAGAGGGAAAAAAAAGGAGTTTGTGAACAGGTTCATTATTACAACTGTCATCATGCTACTCAAAATTACAGTACCAGTTGCCTTTGTCCCTACAGAATCTGCATATCACACATCATATGGTCCATTTCTCTCAGTCCCTTTAGTGCCTTACTGGAGCACAAGTCCTTGCCTCTGCAGCAATCGCCATCTCACCTCAAGTACAGCACATGCGAGGTGCCCCACTGGACTGTCATTGTTCAGGAAGTATATTAAAGTGGATAGTTACATAACAAAAGAATGGGTAGTGATGTACAAGTCTTGGGTGTGAGAGACAGAAGGGAGAAATTAGGACATTAAGAGCACAGTTATGATTTTTACTTTTGTGCTACATAGACAGCTGATTATAACTCATGAGCAACTATCCCAACTTTGGTGTCTCAACCCAAACTGCTAAGTCCTCACTGTTTAGCAATTTGACACTGGCTCCTCATATTAGGCACTGATGAGATAATATGTTGAGATAGACTCATTTCAGATTTGATCTTTGTGGCAAAACTTTCATCTGAGGGGTCCAGGTCAGATTTACAAACACGTCACACCCCCCATCAGAACCCTGGACCAAACGCATTGTCACTTCCAAGTCCCATTTAGAAGAATTTCAATGTACCCTTTAATAAATCTCCATTTGGCTTCATGAGCAAGGAGTGCAAGCGCAGAATATTTAAAAGGATGGTCTCACATCTCAACTTTAATCCTGGTTGGATCTAGCTCTATGCCTAGCATTAGATCTAATTCCAGGGGGAAATTGTATTTAAACTGAAACAGCTATTAACAAGTAAAGACCAGTGAAGTAAACTACTGAATGTCACTAGCCAGTACATTGAATAGAATTTACCCAGGAAGACTACACACATTGGCACTTCTGCATTGATGCACTAATTCTTTCAGTTTCAAGGTCTTAGACATGAGTGCGTATTCACACACTGTTTAACAGTAATGGATAAAGTGATGTAAATGAGGCAACGGTGAGAGAAAGCTGTTTCACACGCCAGTAGTTAGGGTAATGGAATGCACTACTTGGAAATATTGTGCAGGCAGGTTCAATTGAGGTGTTCAATGAGAATTGGATGGTTATTTGGATAGTAATGGTGTGCAGGCATATGGGGAAAAGGCTGGAAATCGGTACTAGGTAATAGAACCAGTGCAGACACAATAGGCTGAATGACCTTCTCCTGCATCATAACAACTCTGAATTTCTGGTAGTGTATTTTGTACTGATGAGCACATAAACATGCCCTATGTGGAAAACTCCCAAAATTACAGTTATAGATTCAGACTTTGCAAGTATGTGTCTGGAGATCTGGAGAGAGATGTGAAGTCCCAGGATAATGAAGGTGGTTAAAAGTCCATAACCGGTTGGTGGTGGAGAGAGCAACTAGATAAATAAACCCGAACAAAGATCAGTTGCATACAAGATTAATATGCTGCTGGAAGTGTGAGTAGTTCTATTGACTGTTGTATACCAGGTAGTCAATAGCTTGATTTTAACTTTTGTTGCTCTAGTTTTTCTTTAACTAGCATGAGAGAACAGAACAGAAATCTCTGGGTGTAAAGTGATTGGTCACTTTATAAGGGGCTTTGACTTAGGGGGAGAGGGGTAAAGAAGGGCAGCTAGTGAGGGAGTTGTCTAACAGGGAGGTAAATGGGACAACTGGAGTCCAACCTTACCCGAAATTCCATAAATATTTTCTGCACTGTACACGGAATCTTTGTGCTCCAGAGTGGTGCGCCTCTTGCTAAGTCGTGCTGGGGCTACATCGAGCTCTTCCCTTTTCCTACATCAGTTAAAAGGCAGATTAATTTTAGGATTTTAATGATGTATGACACTTGTCCATGCTTTATGCCAACAGAACTTGCAACTCAGTCACTGCCAGGTCTGAATTTACACTTTTTTCACAGCATAAATCTTTCTGAAATTTAAAGGCTTTTTATTGCGTCCAAAAAACTGAATTTAATTGATATACAAAACAGATGGGGTTTCTAAAAGGATCCAGCAAACTATCAAAGATCAGAACATAAATTGCTGTACTTTATCTTTGTTCTGTCCCATTTTATCTTTCATCCATCTGCTAATCTGCATCAAAATTCAAAGCTAAAACTAGCCATGCTTTCTGTGAAACATATTTATGCTTGTGATAAGCACCTTGAGCTCTCATTCTCCAGTGACAGCCCTCTCATATCAAGAGCAATACTTCTTGGCTTAGGCAACGGTTTTGGCTTGGCCAACCTCCCTTTTCTACACCAGATGACAAACCCACTCAGTTCTCTGCAAAATAAAACACAATAGCGAATAAAGACATATGCTAAACACAGAACATACTCAATAGAAATATTGAAGGTGTTTGTTTAAATACATTTACTAGTAACAGACTAATGCAAAAATCAGAGGACAGTCAGGGAACCAGAAATTTGGAATATGAATTAATTATGGAATTAAAATTAATCACAAATACTTTTCTTTGAGGAATTGACCGAGGCAGCACACCCCAGCATGCTAATGCAGCCCCTGATATTACCCCCATATTTCTTGAAGGTATGGTATTGCAGGGTGTATTTGTAATTAGCTTGAACACTCATGCAGTAATAAAGCTAGGACAGAAAGTAGCTCTTGTACACAGTGTGGGCTAGTTTGTATTTCTGATGAACTGTTAAATCTAGAGGCAATAAATATATGAAAAAAAGAACTGTGGAAGTGTACTTCAACTATGCTAAAAGTCCACTTGGTGGGTTCTGTCGCACAGAATGTTGTATTGCTAATAATTATAGGTTTTACTTACCCTATACATGTGTACAAAGGTACAATCTGCTTGCTTTTTCCGGTCAGTTTGACATCAAAAACAGCAGTGTCAGCCCCACCGAATGGAACCGTCTTAATACATAGTCGTTTCTTTTTAGACACGGTGACCTCTGGGGAAATAAAAGGGCAACCATTATTTAACCCACAAATCAACAAATGAACCACAGGGTTAAGGGCCATCAGTGGTGAGTCCAATGTACAGGAATCCACATCCCTAACACACTGGGGTTTTAGGGTACAGGAGAGTGTCTTGTGTGCTACAGTTTCAGAATCACTCATCATCCCTACCTCATGCCAGTTTGGTGAAGTGATTGAAGTGACCTTCATCTGTCTGAACAATGCAACAAGGTTGCAGCCTAACTGAATGCCTGAAGGTGCTGCTTTTAAGATTCTAGGTGCATTTCTTGTGATTGATCCTCCTCTTTAGTCAACTGAACGGTTGGGTATGGGACAGAAGGTCCCAGGCAGTTGTTCCTCAGTCTGAGAAAAATCACTAGGGTATATCATATTAGGGTGAATGCAGGGATCCTCTGATCAATCCAATCCTGTTCCAGAGTCTAGTATGTGCCTGGGTCTCTTTGATGCCCATCAGCTCTCCAAGTACTTTGTGTGACTGGCAAGGGTCACTGGGCACACCACGTGTCAGAATGGAATATTTTAAACATGCAAATGCCTTCAATTTGTTGAATGTTGCTTACTTTACTAGTGTCCTCTTCGTAAAAGACAGTTAGAGACACTTGGCTAATCATTAATTCTTAATGCATCAAGCTTTATAGTATTGAAGGAAGGGAACACTCTTGGTCTTTCAGCCCCAAAACTATGCCCCAATCCACAAAACTATAGTAGTAAATACTATTTATACTTACCATTCTTTTTTACTGCTTCGTCCCATGTAGATTTCATGGGTCTGGAATTTATAAACTGTTATTTCCAGCCCATTTACTTCCTAAATTGGAACACTTACATCATTTAACATCTGTAACTCTGGAAATTAGAACAAGCAGCATGATCTCTGCCGGCAGGCTACGCATGGACACATGGCAAGTGAACACAAATAGAAAGCTCAGACAACCCTGCACAAAAGGTCACCTATACTGCAGCTCACAGCAAGTTACAAGACACATGACAATCTCAGCACAACTGTTTGCTTCTGCATAGTCTCTCCGCCATAGCAAGATGGTGCAAAGCAGTTCACTGGAGACAAAATTAAGGAGAGAATAGAGAGGTAAGCACTATTTGTCAATGACAGCTTGAAAAAATTGTGTTTGAACTTCAACTTTCTGACACCAAGTCAAAAGTGGTTGTGTCGGTAAGACAGACTCAACTCTTTATTATCTCTCAACTTCTAGGTACCAGAGAACTGTCGCGAGCTCCGCTACAAAACAAGCTTGAATATAAGAGGCATTTATTTGAATCACCACACCCTGTGAATTTAAAAAATTAATCCCTTAACCTTAAGTAAGTTTGAGATCTGTGATAGCTCTACACTCCAATACCCTTATGACGGTAATCAAAAATACTTACTGGGATCCAGGAATTCAGAAATGAAGGCATATCCTGATGGTAGAGGGTTCTTATCAGGAAGTAACTGGATATCTGAGACAATGTCCCCTTGAGGATTCTGTAAACAGGGTACAGAAGCAATGTTACACCGTCATCTCCACACCGTGACCTGCACTGAAAGTATCTGCAAACCTCTTAACATCAAATTACAGTCCATAACCCCCAGCCGCTTATTACTTATGTCTTTTAGTTTCTCCTTGAAAATGCTAGCTTTGTGCCAATCGACTAGTAACCTAACTATACAAACCCACCTATCACAGTATCTGTCCATCACCCCACTGATACAAACACCATGAAGATGGCTCATGCATATCCAGCAGGGTATCTGACAACAAATAAGTTGCAAGTGACCCCAGGGTTGTCTGGAATACAACAGATTCTCTCCACAAACAAGAACAGAAATTGCTGGAAAAGATCAGCAGGTCCAGCAGCATCTATGGAGAGAAATCACAGTTAACGTTTTGGGTCAAATGACTTTTCCTCAGTTCTTTTTAGTTTTTATTTAGATTCTCTCCACAGATGCTGCCAGACCTGAACTTTTCCAGCAATTTCTGATTTCCAGCATCTGCAGTTGGTTTGTTCTTTAAAAAACAGAATCCTTCCCAGAAAGGTTCTGAAAAAGGGATTAGAGACAAATTTGCCCTCCTGGTCTTGGAATAGAGAGGCCACCACCAAGCGTTCAACAGAAATTAGTTAACTCAGCCCAAAGGCTACAACCAGAACTTTAGGCAACATGACACAGTACCAGAGTTTATGATACGTTTTTCGTTCATAGTTATTGTTACTGTACCAAAATGTGTCAGCCTTTGAAATGCAGGGATGAGGTGGTGGAGGTGCAGGTGCAGGTTGGGGTTGGGGTGGCACCGACAAGGAAGATCACAAGAGGTTCAAGTCAGGTTGCTTTCTCTTGAACCAATTTCAACTGTTGCACCATTTATATTCTTCTAAAATATTGTACCCTTTCTATACCATGGGTTGTAAACAGGTACCCAGCTGAGGGAGTATTTATTAACTTACCTGTTTATTCAGCAGTGAGCTGACACACAGATAACAATTTGATTTCTGGCCAAAGCCTTTTGCAAAATTTGCAGAGGAGCCGTCTGTAGTTGTAACAATCTAGAATACAAAGGATATAGATTATATAAATTGGAGGCCGATGGGAGGGGAGGAAATGGAGGAGGGGGTAGTTAAAGAGTCAACAATGTTTAAAAATTCTCATAATTTGGGGCAAGTGGTGCAAAAGAAAACTCACACGGAGAAATCACTGAATACTACAGCATATCAAGTCTGCACTGACAAAAACCATCTAAAATCTTCCCTAGTCACACTTTTCAGCGCTTGGTGCATAGCCTTGAATATTATGACACTTAAAACGTTCATCAGAGTACTTTTTGAGGTGGTTTCCCACCTCAACTACCCTCCCGGGCAGTGCGTCCCAAACCTATCACCCTCTGGATGAAAAACATTCCCTCAAACTCTCTCTAAACCTCCGGCCTTTTACCTTAAAAAGGTCCCCTTGTTACTGGCCCTTCAGCTAATGAAAACAGCTGCTTTCTATCCACCCACATAATCTTACATACTTCTATTGTGCCCACTCTCAGCCTTCTCTGCTCCAAAGAAAACAACCCGAGCTTATCCAGCCTCACTTTGTCGCTGAAATGTGCCATCCCAGGCAACACCCTCGTGAATGTCCTCTGCATCCCCTCTGGTGCAATCAGATCCTTCCTATATAGTGTGGTGACCAGATATAAAAAGCTCTCCTGAATATATTTCAAGAAATCTGTACCCTCTAAACACCCAGCATACTCACTATTTCCAACTAACGCTGGGAAGATTTTAAAATTAACTCATGGGACATTGACATCACTGGCAGGCTGCTGGGCATTTCAGAGGGCAGTTGAGATCCAACAACATTGTTGTGGGTCTGGAGTCACATGTAGGCCAGGCCAGACCAGGTGAAGATGGCAAATTTCCTTCCCTGAAGGACACCAGTGAGCCACAGATGGGTTTTTCTAACAATTGACAACTGTTTCATAGTCATCAGCAGAGTCTTAATTCCACCATCTGCCATAAGGGAATTTGAATCCAGGTCTCCAGAACATTAGCTGAGTTTCTGGATTAATAGTCTAGTGATAATATCACTAGGCTATTGCCTCGCCACAAAAGGGTAATATGATGACCCTTATTATTATTCTCAAGTGCCTCAGTGAATTGACTACTTTTCTGCTTCTCAATTGCCCACTGACTGTTTGGGGGCTTATGATACACTCACAGCAGTTTGTCTGCCCCCTTCTTAATTCTAAGCTGCATCCACAAAGCCTGACATGAAGACTCTTACAAAATGTGATCCCTCTTTACCACAGAACTGACTCCTTAATAAATAATGACACCACCTCCTCTTTACACCCTCTCCTGTCCTGCCTGAAGATCCTATATCTCTGAATGTTGAGTTGCCTGTCTTGTTCCACCTGCAACCATATCTCCATGACAGCAACAATCTCACAATTCCATGTGTCAATCTCCACCCTTAACTGCTAGATATATCTGATGCTTTCATGTAGCCATTTCCGTAGAATCAACAACTGTGATTTCCTGATCACCGCTCCTCAATTTAAAAGAATAGGAAAGAAACTAGTTCACTCATATCTAAGATTGTATTGCTTTTTATCTTTCCTCTTGAAATTTCTTGGTTTACTCCTGCTCACCTCCTTGAAACTGCTGGGGGAACACCATCTCATTCCGGATGCTTTGACTCCCAAAACTTCACGTTTATTCTCCGTTTGCCGATCGACATGACCACGCTTGCATCAACTCCATGTGCAATTATGTTTGCAGTGTTTCTTGCATGAGGTAGTATTAAATGTATTTTGAAAATCTGTATAAACCACACTTGCATCCAAGTTTCCTGCCTGCTGTTACTGGTCGACCTACAAGTTCACTAAGCCTTCCACGCTTGCTGCAAGTGCTTTGTCATCTGCAAATCTAACTGATGTTATCATTTGCCCAAGATTCTGTTTCTTCAAATGCATCTTTAATTATTGCTTCTGCATTGACATTGAAGAGGTCGGTAACAAACAAAAGAACTTGTAATAATCACATAGGAATGATTACAAGACTTGACAGGTACAGCAGTAACAGGCATGAACTTTAGAGTGAAAGTAACCATGACAAAACCAAAATGGTGCAAATCTCAAAATCACCAAGAAATATTCATTTATTCTTAGAAGAGAAGAACTGGAAAAAGGTGCAAGAATTTAGGAAGCATAATGTCTGAGGATGAAAGATGCAATGCTGAAATAAGAACACAGTCAGCAATGGCAAAAGCCATATTTGGTAGGAGGGTATGGTTACTAATTGGAAAGCTGAATAAACATCTTAAAAACTAACTGAAGATCTCAATTTGGAGTGTTCTTTTGTAAGGATGTGAAACATGGATGTTACAAAAGGAAACCACCAATTAGCTAAATAGCTTTGAATTTTGCATTTGAAGGAAAATGGAAAGGATCTGCAGGACAAAAAATGTAACATGTTGAAGTTGAGTGAACAAACAAAGAAAATTGGTGAACAATATTACGGGGAAGAGAGAGTCTGGATAGGGTACAGTGCAAGAGGAAACACCTGTAAAAGAAACTATGGAGGGAAGATTTCAAGGAATAAGAGAAAGAGAATGAGAGAGAATATCAATGTTAGATGGCTTGAAATTTGATTTGCAAATGAAAATACTGGCACAAAATAGAGAATAACAAAAATACTGATATAAACCAAGATCTGCCTTCAGGCAGAGTACACCTGATAATACAATACATCCGCTATCCGTTCTTATATTTTTCCAGGAATTATATAGTTGATCAAATATGCCTTTCTTTCAGAAACAGTGACCGACTGGTCCTGAATAGCCCCCGATTTATTAACTTAAATCACGATGGACTCCAGCAGTTTATCAAAAACTCCCCTCCAGACTCCTTCCTCATCTGAATGGCTTAAGTCGTCAGTGCGATGGAACACTCTTCATTGTGTTGATCTACAGCCATCCAACTAGTCTATAATAACACAACCTGCTCGGCTGGCAATCCATCTACCAGTGGCACACCTTGGCTGCAGGGTGTTACATTTCTATGGAAATGTCGTCAGCAGGATCTCCCAAATTCAACCACCTAGAAGGACCATTACTGCAAGGGAAATCAGGCACATCATTTACAATATTCCTTCCACATTATACACCAACTTGACATGGACGTACATAGTGTTACTTTGTCATTGTTGTGTCAAAACCCTGTGATTCCAATCTAATGGCTTTGGGAGTTACTTTCACCACATGGACTGCAGCAGGTCAAGACGACAGTGCATCAGTTTTTCTCATGGTTTGAATCACATCTCAACAGATTTTAACATTCAACTAAATCACTGGAATATGCAGAGGGAGCCTCGTTTAACAGAAGAGCTTCAGTTCATCCAGAGGTCACATTTCTGACAAAGCAACATTCTCCCTGTTTTGTATTGATCAATTAGTCCAAGTATATGATCAAGACGCACAATGTTCTTACTCAGAGAGCTGTAATTTTTTTCTGATGGTATGTCCCCATAATCTATGAAAGCTCTACAAACTCATTAGCACAAGGTATTGCAATAAGCCCCAATTTGAATACCAGCCCCATATTGGATTTAAATTACAAAGGCTCAGGTAAGATTTCATGTTTTTATCCATTCCAAAAAATTGCTAGCTGAAATCAGAATTACTGTAATCTAGCCAAATGTACAGACATACCAGTTGATATTCCTTTGGACATGTGCTCTGGCTTGAGGCCCATCCTACTCCAGTGAGCGGATAGCAGTTTGGATCATTGATCTCAGGTGCAGCCATCCGGAACAAGGCACAAGATATATCCTACACACCAAGCACTGCTTCATCAATTCAGTTCTCTCACTAGGATCAAATGAAAGCAAAAAGAATTAAGGGGAGGTTAGAGGAGAAAAATATTCAACTGGAATAATCAGTCACTCAGTTGTCAAAGCAGAGCCTGGTTTGTTTCAAAAGGGAATTATGGTGAACATCAGTTCTCCAGCATTTAAATAGTACCCCAGCACATCAGTAGAACTCTTTTATTATGTTGCCACTGTTTATGTAGGCAAGTATGGCAGTCAGTTTGCAGAAAGAAAAGTTCAAATATATATAGATAACTGTTTTTTTATTTGATGGGGCTAGTAAGAACAGGTACAGGAAGTAAGCAAGGCAATGAAATGGAGATGAGACTAAGTGGTTCATGTGTATTATAATGAGAATGGGAATGGACGTAGGGACATTTTAGTGCGTATGTAAGGGGCTGTGGTAAGCATCTAGAGTGCTGTATGCAGTTTTGGTCTGCTTATCTGAAAAAGTATATAATGGCATTAGTTCAGAAAAGATTTGTTTGACTGTGAGGATGAAGGGCTCATCTTACGAGGAAAGGACGAACAGGTTGGGCTTACACCTATTCAATTTCAGCCTATACCTACTGGAGTTCTGAAGAATGAGAGATGATCTTATTGAAATATACAAGAGGATTTAATAAGGGCGAATATAAGGAGGATCTTTCTTCTTGGAGAAGTTTCAAACCGGAGAACACAGTTTAAGAGGGCTTCCTTTTAAGGCAGATGAGAAAATATTTTTCTGCCAAAAGGGCTTTTAGCATGTGAAATTCTGTTCCCTAAAAAGCAGTAGAGGCTGGTTCATTTGATTTATACTAAGCATGATCTTATCGAATGATAGAATAGGCACAAAGAAGCGAAGCAGGACATTCAGCCCGAATTCCTGCACTTCTGTGGAGAGGAACATGGCCCTTGAACCTATTTCTGTGAACAACGGTAAAGGATCACTAATTCCAATCCAAGTACTAGGGGCAGATGGGACACATGGAACTCAAAGCTGTAAATTTGAATATAATCAGACAACACAATAGATTCAAGTTTCGAAACAGCATATATAGTGAAAGCACAATAAGAATTTCACTATATGCAAGAGATCCTATCATTCTGGCAGTTCTCAGTACAAGTAGTGAATGGGATGATGGCTTGGATGTGGTAAGATTAGGCTGCTTGCTTCCCTTATCTAGGGAGATACTTACAGCATGAAGGGAAAGGTACTTGGATTTCTTTGGATTTCATTTGCCCAATTTCCTTGCTCATGGAGGTAGCTTTTCCACAACTTTTGCTCTGAAGAGTGGTTAGCCTTTCACTGAATGGTCACTTTTTATGTTCAAATCCATGGTGGAATCACAGTCAAGTACTTACTAGTACAAGTCTGGAGGACCACAGCTGTAGCACTCAAGCAGCTTGGCACCAGGACTGCCCTTTTTGATTTCCGTTTCTTTTCCTTAATTCAACGACTGCTCCCTTTCATGGCTCAGTAAGTAGCATACTTCCCTCTGAATTACAAGGTTTTGGGTTCAATTCCCACTGTAGGACTTGAGCACAAAAATCAAGGCTGACACTCCAGCACAGTAGTGAGGACAAAAACTGTAATGTTGGATGTGCCACCTTTAAGATGAGACATTAAACCAAAGCCCAATTGTCTGCTAAGTCTCCATGACACTATTTTGAAAAGGAGGGATGTTATGCCAGGTGTCCTCAATTATTTCTCAATCAAAATCCCAAAACAGATTACCTAATCGCTGTCACAGTACTTTTTGAGAGAGTTTGCTGAATGCAAATTAAACTACCATATCTGATACAGGGGTAGGTGGGTAGGAACAGAGGCTCACTAGTTAGCACTGCTGCCTCACAGCGCCAGGGACCCAGGTTCCATTCCAGCCTTGAGCAACTCTGTGTGGAGTTTGCACATTCTCCCAGTGTCTGCGTGGGTTTCCTCCAGGTACTCCAGTTTCCTCCCACAGTCCAAAGATTTGCAGATTAGGCCGATTGGCCATGCTAAATTGCCCATAGTGTCCAGGGTAGGGGTTGGGTCTGGGTGGGATGCTCTTCTGAATGTCAGTGTGGACTCAATGGGCCGAATGGCCTGCTTCCACACTGTAGGGACTCTATGATACACTACTACAGTGAAAGGGATAGGTTGGTGGCTAGTGATCAGCATTTGTATTGCAGGACTGAAAAATGACTTTTATCTTCTGATTATTTAGAGGAAACTGTTGCTCCTGCAGTACTGGATATCAGATAACCTGCAGATACTGGTGTGGTTGATCGATCTAGATCTGCCTTAATACTGTGCTGGGGAAGAAAGCTGATTAGAGGGATTTAAAAATGGAGTGCTGCAAAACAATGACATGGCTTTGGGAGGTGATAATAAAAAGTTTAAAGGACTTTAAAGAGGAATGGGCAAATTAAAATGGTGAAAATTAGTGGGGAAGCTAGAGGATTGGGAAGCCTTTCAAAGCTAACTTAGGATAACTTAAAAAAAAGCAAAAAAAAGGAGACAGAAGATGAAATATGAGAGTAAGCTAGCTAGTAATGTAATTTAAAGACTGCAAGGGTTTTCTTAGATATATTAAAAGGAAAGAAAGAGGCAAGAGTGGGCATTGAGAGAAGGTGGAGCTGGGAAGGTTATTTGAAATTGGAGAACTTAATGTTGAGTCCTTCGGGCTGTAGGGTGCCCAGGCAGAAGATAAGTTGTTCTTCTTCAAATTTGCTTTCTGATTTGAAGGACAACGCCTTATCTTCTGCCTGGGCATCTAACAGCCAGGAGGACTCAACATTGAGTTCTTCAATTTCAAATAACATTACCAGCCATCACCCAGTTCCCTTCCATTCCACTTCTGACTTTTCCTTCCAGCCACCAACCAGATTTATCCCTCCCATCAACCAACCAGGTCATACCTACTAACGGTGTCCGCTTATTACCACCAATCTGCTACCCCGCCTCCCCCCACCCCCAAGTTTATCTGCAGATCCCCCTACCCCCACATCCAGTTCTGAAGGAGGGTAATATCCGAAACACTGACTTCTCCTTTCCTCCAGATACTGCCTGGCTTGCTGTGTTCATCCAGCTTCCTGTATGTCTACCGAAGAGTGGGCATTGGACTGCTAGAAGTGAGGTTGGAGCAGTAGCAATGGTGAACAAAGAAATGTTGGAGGAGCTGAATAGGTACTTTGCATCAGCCTTCACAGTGGAAGACACCAGCAGCTTTTGAGAACTTCAAGAATGTTGGGTGCAGATGTGAGCATTGAGGCCATCACTAAGGAGGAGATGCTGGTGAAGCTGAAAGGTGTAAAGATGGATAAATCACCTGGACCAGATGGACTACACCCCAGAGTTCTGAAGGAGGTAGTTGAGGAGATTATAGAGAAAGCGGCAGTGATCTTTCAGGAATTGCTAGAGTCACAAGAGCGTCCCAGAGGATTGGGAAAAGGCTAACGTAACACCCCTGTTTAAGAAGGGAAGGAGGCAGAAGACAGGAAACTATAGGTCAATTAGCCTGACCTCCATTGCAGGTAAGATTTTGAGTCCACTATTAAGGATGAGATTGCGGAGTACTTCGAAGTGTGTAGTAAAATAGGCCTGAATCAACAAGGCTTCGTCAAGGAGACGTCATGCCTAACAAATCTGTTAGAATTCTTTGAGGAGGTAACAAACAAGTTAGACAGAAGGAGAGCCAGCAGATGTGATCTATTTGAATTTTCAGAAGGCCTTTGATAGGAGGCTGCTGAATAAGTTAAGAGCCCACGGTGTTAGGGGCAAGATACTGGCTTGGATAGAGGATTGGCTAACTGGCAGAAGGCAGAGAGTGAGGATAAAGGAAGTCTTTCTCAGGATGGCAGCCAGTGACTAATGGAGTTCCACAGGAGTCCATATTGGGACCACAACTACTCATTTTATACATTAACAATCTGGATGAAGGAACTAAAGGTATTGTTGCTTGGTTTGCAGATGACACAAAGACAAATGAGGAAGCGGGCAGTGTTGAGGAAGCAAGGAGGCTACAGAAGGACTTGGACAAGTGAGGAGAGTAGGCAAAAAAGAAGTGGAATACAATGTAGGAAAGTGTGAGGTTATTCCTTTGGAAGGAAGAAGAGATGTAGATTATTGTCTAAACAGGGAAAAGCTTTAGAAATCTAAAGCACAAAAGGGTGTTGAGCCCTAGTTCAGGATTCTCTTGAGGTTAACATGCAGTTTTATTTGGTACCTAGGAAGGCAAATACAGTGTTGGCATTCATTTCAAGAGGGCTAGAATACAACAGCAGAGTTGTACTGCTGAGACTGTATAAAGGCTCTAGTCAGACTGCATTTGGAATATTATGAGTAGTTTTGGGCTGAATATCTAAGGAAGGATGTGCTGAATTGGAGGGGATCTAAAGAGGTTTACAAGAATGATCCTGGGGATGAAGGGCTTGCCATATGAGAAGCAGTTGAGGACCCTAGGTCTTTACTCGATGGAGTTTAGAAGGATGGGGTGGGGGGGATTTGATTGAAACATACAGAATACTGAGAGGCCTGGATACAGAAGATGAATCCACTAGGAGAGACTAGGACCCGAGGGCACAGCCTTACAGTGAAGGGATGACCCTCTATCTCAGTTCTAAAGAGGAATTTCTTCAGCCAGAGGCAGTAAATCAGTGGAACACATTGCTGCGGAAGGCTGTGGGGGCCAGTTCATGGAGTGTATTTAAGACAGAGATAGATAGGTTCTTGATTGGTAAGGTTTTCAGGTAGAAGGCAAGAGAATGGGGTTCAGAAACATATCGGCCATGATCGAATGGCAGAGCAGAGCAGTCTCGATGGGGAGTTAGATGGTCAGCAGGTTAGGGGACTTGTGTCCAGGGAGCAAGAGCAGATCAGAATTTGTTCATCATAGACGGCACGAGAGAACAGAAAAGAAACCAGAACAAGAGGAAAGTACAGGGCTCAGGCAGTGGGGGAGTTTCATTGGCATGGTGAGCTAGAAAGGGAAGATACAGCATAGGCAGCTGATTGGACAAGTTGCTGAAGTGTTGCA